GAAGTGCGCGGATTAGGCCACATCAGACCCAGATGTTCCTGGAATCGATCGGAATGGCCTTCTCTGGATCGGATAGATGCTTAGGAGCTTGGGTTTACTATAAATTGGTGAACTTTATGGGTCAGTCTCGGTGAAATTCATCAATCACTCTTCGCATGGCTGGAGAGAGCTTACTAAGAGACCCTTCACCACACTGATACGCGCATCGACCATAGGTTCGGCTACAGCAATCAATCTGACATGTTGGGGCTGTGATTATCTCTTGCTGTGTGTCCTCTCAGTCCAGCCTGTCGCTACAAGCCGGGACCTGGCACCATCTCGAATGAGGATTTCTAAGGGGCCCGAACACCGCACTGAGGCAGGCCTGCCCAGCCGGATAATAAGAACATATCAGTGTACCGCTTGCATCAACACCTACATCAGTCTGACCAGGCGGAACTAGACGTTGATACATGAGTGGTGCAGGTTCAATCAGCCCAATCCGGAAGACTTTCCAATGCTGCTGGCTGAGAAAGCCTGCATCGGACAAGTCGTGAGTCGCCGAGAGTGCAACATCAAGCACTTCGGCTACCACAATTAACCGGCTATAACCATTGCAGACTGGAGTTTGACCGTGTTCACGTGGAAAGAGCAGCGCAGCTAAATAAGCCGTTGCCGGCTCAGACTCCCGGCAACTGCGTCCTGACGCCGAAACTCGGCTGTCGCAATCGCCCGTCTTGGTTTTTGCCATGTTCGCTCACAGGGCTGCAATCGATCGAACACGAGTAAAGAGAGGAGGAGTTTCTCAACCATTGATTGTTTTGATTAGACTATGATGAAGAGGCTTGACGGTGGCGTCAAGCGCCTCTCGTCAGCACCAATCAGCCATGTCGACACTATATAGATGACCACACCCAGCCAGGCCGCCAAGCGATGGTGAGCATAGCGCAACGGAAGAGGCTTCGGGTGGGCGTCAGACAAGCCTCCATAGACCGGCTCGTGCCGAAATAGACAACACCCGTTATTCGAGACGATTGAGTGCTCGGGAGGAGTCGACAACCATATGATAGACCCTGAGAGTAGTCTCATTGACAAAATGACAATTCAAAGATATTCTTCGACAGGTGGAATGAAAATTATCCTCCGTCAGGCATGCGGAGTAGGGATCTGGCAGGAGTCAAGGAAGAGGGTCTACCCGACCGTCGGTTAAAATCAGGGGAATCAGGAAAATCAAGACGGGTTCAACACGAAGAAGGAAAATCTCCGAGGCAGAAATGAACCGACTGGACTGGGCAGAAAACACGGCCTCCACCGAGACTGGGGAGAAACCGCTCCCCCAGGCGGGTCTGATTCGTTCCCCAACCGAAATCCCCGGACCTCCGCATTCCCTGCCGATGATCTTTACTCTTTGAAGTCATCCACCCCCATGCAGGTCTCGCACCACCCTCCATCCGGGACACCTGCAACACTTGCAAGTTATCTTCTTCCCTGTCTTCTCGCCGCGAGTGACGCCATGACGTACGGGCCAGTTGCATGAGTCCGGGATGGACGTTACTTCGGCACTGGGTCGTGCATCGGTATATAAGCCCCGTCCGGGGCCCCCGAGTCGGCTCTCCGCATCTCTATCCCGGTTGTACTTCAGGTAGTCCGGTCTGGTTCGTTGCTCACCATGTATCGCATTACAAACATCTACAGTATGGTCTCCTTCGATATTGTCAATAAGGTGCCTCGGAATTGACTTCTGCCTAGTCCTTGCCGCGTTAGGCACCATCGGTGGTGCATTGTTCGGCTTCGATGTCAGGTAAGGCTGCTCTCCTGCTCCAGTGTATGACGACACACATTGACCCTGTTGGATAGTTCCATGAGTGCCTGGATTGGCACCGACCAATATCTAGACTATTTTAATCATCCAGACAGCAATTTGCAAGGAGGTGTAGGTCTTCTTTGAACCAGCCGAACACCTATGGGTTACGCTGACGATCCTTCTGCTAGATTACTGCTTCCATGTCTGCTGGGTCTTTCGCCGGTGCACTCGCAGCGGGTTTCCTTTCGGATCGCCTTGGCCGTCGCTACTCTCTCGTTATCGCTTGTTGCATCTGGATTGTCGGAGCAGCTATCCAATGTTCTGCTCAAAACGTTGCACATCTAGTCGTTGGTCGGGTTATCAGTGGGTTGGCTGGTGAGCACTCTCTCCCATTAGCACGGGTACTTTGTGCTAACCGTCTCCAGTTGGTATCACATCTTCTCAAGTCTGTGTCTATCTCGCTGAACTGGCCCCTGCACGCATCCGAGGCCGTATTGTGGGTATCCAACAATGGGCCATCGAATGGGGTATTCTGATCATGTACCTGATCTCATACGGCTGCGGCCAGGGTATTTCTGGTCCCGCTTCCTTCCGCGTGGCTTGGGGTATCCAGGGGGTTCCTGCATTGATCCTTCTTATCGCCTTGCCTTTCTTCCCCGAATCGCCCCGTTGGTTGGCCAGCAAGGAACGGTGGGAAGAGGCTTTAGACACATTGGCCGCGATCCATGGCAAAGGCAATCGCAGTGATCCCGTTGTCCAGGCTGAGTATGAGGAGGTGCAAGAGGCCGTGCGGGTTGCCCAGGAGGCTAAGGACGTTTCATTCTTGGCCCTGTTTGGTCCGAAGATCTGGAAGCGGACTGTTTGTGGTGTGAGTGCGCAGGTTTGGCAGCAGCTGCTCGGAGGCAACGTTGCTATGTACTATGTTGTCTATGTCTTTGACATGGCAGGAATGGTAAGAACAGATGCCGATGGCTGGTGAATTTCGAGCTAACGCGAAGAACAGACTGGCAACACCACCCTGTACTCGTCAGCCATCCAATATGTTATTTTCCTGGTGACGACCGGTGTCATTCTGCCATACATCGATCGGATTGGTCGACGACCTCTGTTGATGACCGGTTCCATCCTGTGCATGGCCCTCCACTTTGCGATTGCGGGTATCATGGCCAGCTACGGTCACCACGTCGACTCAGTGGATGGCAACTCGAACCTGAAGTGGTCGATCACCGGTGCCCCTGGTAAGGGTGTCATCGCTTGTTCATACATCTTCGTTGGTATCTATGGTCTCACTTGGGTAAGTAGACAACCTATTGCAAATGCTGAACCATACTGACAATGAATAGGCCCCTGCTGGATGGATTTACGCCTCGGAGGTGTTCCCCCTCAAGTACCGCGCCAAGGGTGTCGGATTGTCGGCTGCGGGTAACTGGATCTTCAACTTCGCGCTAGCCTACTTTGTATCGCCGGCGTTCACGAACATCCAGTGGAAGACGTATATCATTTTCGGCGTCTTCTGCACGGTCATGACCATCCACATCTTTTTCACCTTCCCGGAGACAGCTGGTCGTTCTTTGGAGGATATCGACTTAATGTTCGAGGCTAACTTGCCGGCCTGGAAGACTTCGCGGCTACCCGACCGATTCGGCGATGAGATTGAGCGTCAACGACAGAAGACCGGCGGGGCGGAGGTAGGGGATAAAGGAGTGGAGACGGCGCATGATGAGATGGTCTAAGCGGGAGAGATGCCCTGATGAGCTAGACTCGTTACAATAGATCAAGACGTGTACCTCATCCTGCTGCAAGAGACTGTTTCTTGTCACTCACCGCCGGCGGTGTGGTCATGACATCATCGCAGTGGTCGACCGATGCTTTGGATTGAAAAAACGTATCATTTCGCAGTTGCGCAAAGTTTGGAGAGAAGAAGTGTAGTATGCTTGCAGCTCTGTTGCCTGAAGCATGATCAATCAAGATCCCGGTGCTTTGCGTGCGCGTTGAGCAGTGTGGTGTGTTGTAAGTGCAGATTGCTGAGAACTGGCACTGCGTTTGCCTGTCCGCCATGATACGTGGAGAAATATTTGGCCCAGCGCGCGTGACCTCAACTAGACCCTTTCCGGTCATCCCGTCTTCCACCCGTGATTTGCTGCCTCAGGCATTAGGGCATTAAAGCAGCAAGGCAGCAAGGCAGCCAGGCCGCGATATGGGGCGGATTAGGAAATGGCTCCCGCTGCCCGCGGCGTCCCGTCAGTGCCAGTGCAGTATGCCCGCAATGCAACTCGAGCTGAAGAGTACATGGCAATGCGGGCCGTCTTCCTCTTTTCTCAATATACCTAGGACGACTAGTCCTATATCTACTAAGATATGCAATTCTACTCTGGTTCCACTCTTTGCTTCTAGTTTTTTTGTTGACTTCGGTAACCGTTTCGCTATTTGGCTTAGTGTTATGCTGCGTCCTGTCCTTTTTCAATATATATGTTGTCGGTGTATGAGACGGTTGCAGTTGGGAAAGGCAGAGCCACAATATGCGGGGGTACTGCAAATACAATGCATTCGAGGTTCTTGCCGACCGCTCCAGTACGAGTGAGATCTTCTTGCAATCCCCACCAAATGATCTTTTAAAATGGCATAAAATGGCAATAATCGATAAAATCGCAAATCGCAGAAAGCAGTGGCCGGACCCTTCGACTTTGCCGTCCAAGAAGGGTAGTGGGGCCCGCGAAGGAAGTGATCAATTCAGGTCTAGGAGTCTTTAACTCAATTAACCTCCGTCCGTGATGTCACTGGCCAGTAATCCGATGAGGGCTTCGGACCTGCGATGGCGAACACCAGAGACCCTCTCCATCAATGCATATGTTATCGAGAGAAGTCTGCTTTCCTTGCCTCAACTGACTCAAGAAGGATTCCTTCCACCTCACCCACGAGTACTCCTCTTGAGTGCTCCCACTTTCCCACTGCTGCGAGAGTCCCACATGCCCCACATCTCCCACTTGGATGCTGAATGACTTCTTACTTCAGCCCTCTCGACCCCAGCTTTTTTCAACCTGGATTTGACTCTGCTCCGAGTCAGAATTCTCACCTTCGAAGTAGTCAATATCCTTATATTTGACAGAGTCGTCCGGTTTAGAATCAGCGCGCGCCATCGCAAACAGCTTCAAGTTGCCTCGCGGTTTCGACATCGGGAAACGATCCCGCCCCGCTGCCTGATATTACAGGCCGCAAGATGTCGCTGTCGAGCTCGACCAAGCACTCCATTAACGGAGACAGTGAAGATGATCATCCACAGGACCCAGACCTCACGCGAACGGAGTCCATGCGCTCGGCTGCAGACCACTGGAATCCAATCCACGAGCTCATCTTCGTGTTGGTGGTGTGCATGGCACAGTTCATGACCCAAGCCGCGCTGGGAGTGTGTCTTGCACCGCTGGATATAATCGGCGACGGACTCAACATCACGCAACCGGGCATTCTGAGCTGGCTGATTGCAGGCTACTCGCTCACCGTCGGCACCTTCATCCTCTTCTTCGGCCGACTGGGCGATCTCTTTGGATACCGCCTTATGTTCATCATCGGCTTCCTGTGGTTCGCGCTCTGGTCTATGGTCGCCGGCGTGAGCGTCTACTCCAATTATATCCTCTTCATCTTCGCACGCACACTCCAAGGCCTGGGTCCTGCCATGTTGCTTCCTAACGGCTTGGCCATCCTAGGTGCTACTTACCGCCCGGGCAAGAAGAAGCACATGGTTTTCGCCCTGTTCGGCGCCATGGCCCCCAACGGCTCTGTTATCGGCGCCATCTTCGCCGCCGTCTTCGCCCAACTCGCCTGGTGGCCGTGGATCTGGTGGTCGATGGCCATCTGGTGCTTCGTGCTGGCTATCCTGGGCATCTACGCCATCCCGCCCGAGCCCAGAAATCCGCGCATCCGCACCCTCTCCGTCCGCGCCCTCTGCGCCGAGATGGACCTAATCGGCGCAACTCTGGGCGTCACGGGCCTCGTCCTCGTCAACATCGCCTGGAACCAAGCCCCTGTCGTCGGATGGGAGCAGCCCTACGTATACATTCTACTGATCATCGGCCTATTAATCATTGCCGGCTTCTTCGTGTGGGAGATCCGCTTCTCGAGTAATCCGCTCATCCCTTTCCACGCCCTGAATGTGGACGTCTCGTTTATTCTTGGTTGCATCGCCTGCGGCTGGGCCAGTTTTGGCATCTGGATCTACTACTTTTGGCGGTTCTTAGAGGACATCCGCGGAGTGCATCCCATCCTTGCGTCCGTGCAGTTCCTCCCGCCCACGGTTATGGGGATCATCGCTGCGTTCTCAACAGGCCACCTACTGAGTCGCCTGCACCCCGGGTGGATCATGGTCATGGCCATGGTGGCGTTCACTCTGGGCAATGTGTTCTCAGCTATTATGCCCGTGCATCAGACGTACTGGGCGCTCTCGTTCGTCACGCTCATCGTCATTCCCTTCGGGATGGACATGTCCTTCCCTGCTGCAACAGTGGTCCTGAGCGACGCTGTGGGCAGAGAGCACCAGGGAGTTGCGGCGTCACTGGTGTGCACGATCGTGAATTACAGTATCTCGTTAGGTCTGGGATTCGCGGGAACCGTCGAGGTGCATGTCAACCACGGCGGGAAGACGTTCCATGACACGTTGGTTGGGTACCGCGGCGCATTTTATATGGGGATCGGTTTAGGCGGGTTGGGCCTGCTGACGAGTATAGTATATGTACTTTACACTCTGAAGAAGGGCCGGCGCGGGGGAAAGGAGGTGGAAGATGCTTAATCTTTGTTTCGTTCCCTGCCTTTGTCTTTTCATTCCCTTCTCCCAACCTTTCGGATCATTGCAGCTTAAAAGCATACATACATACTAGGTATAGGGTATAGACTTAATAGACTCATTTCGATCGATCGATCCCACTGTCAAGCATTGAAGTGTGAATGAATATTCCCCTATCACCACATAACCCCTTCGATAATGTCTGAGTAGCGACCGTTTCTGGGGAGATATGGTAAGCCAGGCTCGGCATCCATGATCTTCGTCGCTCTGAATCTGGCGTGCAGAAAAGGAGCAGGGCCAGTACCAGGAACGGCAGAGTCCGCGATAGACTTGTTGGACTGCGAAGTAGTGCGTACTTAGACTAGGCAAAATTAGCATTTTTAGGGCCTCTGTTACACAAGAGTTCGGAGGGAGGCTATATTCAAAAAGAGAGAGCGCTCAACCTGTTGTTGGTCGTTCGTGTAGACAGATGTGAGGCACCGAAAGTATAGACCTTCATAGGGCCGGCTCGGGGCCTCTCGTTTGTAAGTGTCGATCTCCCACTCGCTTGATTGTTTATCTCGTGGAGACCGATCAGAATAGGAGGAGTCTGGATGATGGCATCAAAAGCATTCTGGAGGGCGGATCATCTGACTGATTATTTTCATAGCGTGTGATTCTGCTGATGATGCGCGAGACCTTGTTCTTGCTCATACAACATGTAATCACACAGAAGTCATCATAGCGCTCAGAACTCGTTCTTGCTCGTGCAACGGGCAGTACTCGAAGACTCATCATAGCGCTCGGATCTTTGCAACGAGCCATGCTTTAAAGCTCCCGATAGCGCTCAGACTTCACTCTTGCTCGTGCAAGGGATATGCATTTCAACAATCGTCATGGCGCTCGAACCCACCGAGACGCGGGACCCTGTTCTTGCTCGTGATTCGGCTAATCGCTCAAACGATTATCATCGCCGCCGAAATGCGGGACCTTGCTCCTGCTCCTAGATCAGACACTGGTTAACCTGTCGATCCCATTTCGCGAGGTTGCCTTTCTTCCATTTGTGTCTCAAGACCCCGGGGCGGTAGGTAAACACCCCAGACAGAGAGAAGCCCCTCAGCACAAAGGCATATTGGGAGGACCGGAGTCCGTGCCTCACAAGTGCTGTCCACCACGGGAGCAGTCCCCCACTGGGCCTGGTTACCTCCCGTGGCCGCGATCTTGCCGAAGAACCAGTAAGCATGGTGGAGTAAGGCTAAGTGTGTCCAATGTCAGTACTCGTACAATGACAACGCAATAGGTAGACTTGGAGTAGCGGTATTGGGTGCCGTGCTCGTCCCTATTCGGTAGATAGAGACCCCTAGAACTGTTCCAGAAGGCGGTCTGTCAGTCCTTGGGTTCAATTTGAGGCTCCGATGTGACAAAAACCAGAGACCTCAATAGCGTGGCTGTATATACGTGGCTTTGCTTCGATCGTAACGCGACCGAGTAGGAAAATCCAAGTCGCGCCCCGTTGAGAAGGAATTCGAGACTCGAAACGACGGATCCAAAGGACGCTCTCGTGCCAGTGTTGAGAGAAAAACGGTACCTAAAGTTGCGGGGTTGAAAAGATTAATTGGCAGCATTAGAAAGACAGTGCAAAGAATTAAGATCATAGGACGATGAGAAGGCTCATAAGCATACAGGAACCACTTTTCTCACCAGATGTCTGTGTTACTGCAAATATTGATTTTGGAAGTGGCTCAACAGGTTGAATGATGTATTTGACAGGAAAGGACGCCAGGACATGAAGCGAGGTTGGATCGGGAAAGGTTGTGCGGAGCCCAAGGTGGAAGACAGAGAAAATGATGGAAATGAACGTAGCCTGGAGGACTTACCTTACATGCACTATTCATATTTATCCATGAAACATGGTACATTCTCAAGAGAAGTGAATTAGTCAGGTCTGATATGACGTGTTGAGCAGCCCTTTTCCTTGTCAATCGATTTGGCAACTGACACGGGTTGGGCAAAGGACCTCTGCATGGCTTACTAGTGGATATGACACTCTCTCCTAGAATACTCGGACATATCTAATCATAACATTAGCGGCAGGAAGAGATTAAGTATGTGCCTTTGACTTGACTGGGTCCGGACGTGGAGGGGACTCAACGGAATGCTCACATGATTCGAATTACATACAGGTGTAGAGACAGGCTGGTTAGAATCCAGAATCGAGGATTTGGGACCCTGTGTATCAAGCTTAAAGCACGCCTTAGTCACGATCCCAAGTCAGTGATGCTTCTGAGAACTATTTGATGCTCGGATTCAGAAGAGGCCGATAGTCACTTAGCTGCACGGCTGTCTTCGTCGCACTGTAGGACTCGATAAATGGAGGCCATAGTTGCAGCTCGGAGGATTTAAAGTGGACGCAGAACTCGATGTATTTGGGCATATAGTGGATGGGAAGAAGAGATGGAGCAGTGTACGGGGAAAGATAAAAAGGGAGATATGAGAGGAGAGAGATGCGAGCAGTGGGGGGTGGGAGTCTTGAGACTCCGCAAGTAGTAAGTAGTGAGATGTTGCAGACTCAGTATCGAAGAACGATTCGAGGCGGTGAGCAATATGCCACACTCAGGACCTCGTCACAATGGACTCGTGATATTAGTGATGAATAGCAATGGGAGCGATCAGGAATGGGCGGGAGCAGTGTTGTAAAGTATCACACAGTAAATCATTCAAAGACAGATCATGTGCTCATGATCATGGGATCTACTCAGAATAGCAACCAGCAGCAGATGCGCTGCCAGTACAATCGAAACTGACTACCTGGAGAAGGACGACTGTTAGACATAGCATGTACCATTCACCATAGAAACCCATATGACTGTCAAGATAATCCGGCAATGCACCCCAACTACGATGAATAGAGCAGTGGAAGTCCAGAGCATCAACCGCGCTTGACGCCAGACGATGCGACCGCCGCGGGGAATTGGGCTCCGCACCCTAGTCAGGAGTCGAGTTCAGGAACCGCCCAATCGGACTGACAAGGCGCAAAAGGATTACGGGGCAGCCTTTCCAGTTCCGTGGGATATCCACTGCTGTGATGTTGTTCAAACCAGAGCCGAGGCAGTGTTGGTCCGAGCGAATTTGGGAATCAAGCGCGCCATGACTATCAATGAGGCGGGGGCAGTGCTCTTATCTGCGTTTCTCGGAGAGGGGCAAGCAAAAGCAGGGACACAACCCCTCTCGTGCAGTGCATATCGTGGAATTATGCCACGCGATCGCTTGCCTGGTTGGTCGCATTACTGGATGACTACATTTAGAATACCTAAATAGTTATCGTATTGGAGAAGGCCTCATAAGACGAGCCACATCGACAGGAACAAAATACATCATACTATGTAGGTAAGTAGCAAGTTGGCCGAGGCGAGGATCACCGGGGAAATGATCGGCAGCCACCTTGAGGGATATGATAGGCCCAGCGCAGCCAAGCCAGATCACCACATCCGCCTAATGCGGCCCGGCGGTTTTGGTGCATCTCCAGACATCCCCTCCAACTCATCCTCCTAACAGGCCGCCTGCTGGTCCTTGCCCTGCTGTTTCAACTTGCCCGTGTTTCAGAGTATAGGAAAGGCATTGGTTGTGGTCTTCTAGGCTTGAGTCAGCTTCATGGACTCGTTGGTTCCTCGAAAGTCGTTCTCCTGGAAGTGTGGCCATTGCACCGTCCCTCTTCTCTTCATGTTGGGCTGAAGTGGCGGTGAATCTATGGCTTCACTTTCACAACCGACGGGGAAAAGAACCAACCACTCACTTCACTACCTGTCGCCCTGTCATAGGTCTCCAACTCAGTGCTATCGACGATGACCTGCCTGGCTTCACCTCGGCGATTTTCGCTGCCCAGCGAACGTCGGACACAGTATAATAACCATGGTCCACGGCCAACAATCTCCAGACTTAATTCTCCTACACACACTTGACTGACTGCGGAAAAAGATCCGAACTTGTGATTTTTTAACACCCTCCATATGCTTCCCATCGTCGTGAAGCTGCTATCACCACTACTCAAACCTTTGCGCAGCATGGACTGCTCGATGACTCGCCCATCGGCGACATCTCGATTTCCTTTCTTCCCCTTCTCGCTGTGGTCGAAGAAGCCACAGCAATCAGTATCAACACAAACGCAGACACAGGCCCAGACCCAGACACAAACCCCACAATCAGCGAAGATGCGACCGCAGCTTCAAATCCAAACCTCGACACCGACACAAACCCAGCTTCCACCCTCCCCGCCCGATACACCCGTCATGGTCGAACATCCTCAACAAACCGCCGAGGAGCTGGCGGAGCGCGACCATCAGGATCGCGAAACTGCGCGACAGGAGGCTCTTGACGAGCTAGACAGTCTTGTCGGCCACGAGAACGTCAAGCGCCAGTTGCGCGGTGTGCAGACTTGGGTGCAAATCTGTCGGCGACACGGTCGGGATCCCAAAAACGAATGGTACAACATGGCCTGTGTGGGTAATCCAGGCACGGGTGAGTTGTCACTTATCATCTGATTGAGCCGTTCGAATTGTCACTGACCCTTCTAGGCAAAACTACCGTCGCACGCATCTACGCAAAGATGCTCTATGCTCTTGGCATCTGCGACTCACAGGCTGTGTGTGAGACGACTGGACTCGACCTCGCCAGCCAGGGACCGGACGGGGTCAAGCAGATGATTGACCGTATCGCTGACGTGGATTCGTTGGTCCACACGGCGGGTGTTCTCATCGTCGACCAACCACACATGCTGGGAGAGTCTATTTCGGCCCAAGCCACAGAGCAGATTCTTGCAAGTGTCTTGCAGGCTCTCGAGCGCAAGACAGGCCGCATAGTGGTGATCTTCTCCGGCGAGGAGTCAGCGCTAACGACCTTCCTGCGCGATCACCCGCGTCTGCAGCAACGGATCTGCAGCACACTGCGATTCTATGACTTTGATCGTAGCGACCTCGCCCAACTTCTCGCTCGTCGCATTGTAATCGAATACCAGGGCCGCATGCAGGTTG